TAATATATATATATAATTATTTCGAATTCTATCACGTACAACATAGACAATAATTAAATACACGTACATACAGATATAATTAAAATGCGCGTGTGATGATTACGAAATCGAAGCTGGAAAAAACTTCCTGGTCGTCACATTAATAATTGCAGCTTCAACTGCAATGTCTATCCTTTCAATTCCCGACGTAATATGAGAATAATTGACTTGGTTCGTAGAAGAAAACATTTGCGTGCATTCGAATGACACCGGCGGCGCCTTTTTAGCTAATATATCAAGAAAATACGGAAAATCTCAGAAAATATGATAACAGAGACATTCCAAGATATGTACCATCTATTTTAATATATGTATAATTTTTTCAAATTTATTCTATTTTTTTTCTTTATTTGTTTTCATCTAAGTTTTTAAAGTATAATTTTTTCGATTCTTCCGATTACAAAATTTTGAATAGTTTAAAACAATAAAAAGTAAGGAATATTGAATATTTTAAAATATTTCTCGCAAGTGATATTTTATGACGACAGGCGGTGTCTCACTCTGTTTGTTTTTTTATTTTGGAATCATGATTCTCAAGAATTGACATATTCATCGTCCCTTTCGCAACATTGGTTTGATCGTCGAAGGTATTGTTCCATCTTAGGTTGTTCCAACCGAGTGGACACCAGCCGGTGTACATCCAACACCGTGCGACCGTGCACGTTGGTGACCGCAGGAAAAAACTCGACACCTTTTACCTTAAACTTGAAACAGCGCGCGTGCAAAATAACATGTCCATGTCATATTATTTCGTCTCGACGGGTATCAAGTGCCATCGTTCCTTTCTTCTTATTGTAATAACTATACTTTTAGAGATGTTTGATCGATCCTTAGCAACCGTCTTAGCTACAGCTTATTTTTTGCAATCTTTTATTATTCCTTCAAAAATATTTTTTATTCAGTTTCTTTACTTTTTAGAAATAAAGATGAAAATAAAGATGAAAGATAATTAAGAAAGAAACATTTGTCAATTATATTCATTAGACGTTAGTTAAATAATGAAAGAAAGAATGGAATGGTTTTGTTGAAGTATCTAAAAATTTAATTAGACATCTGAAAATAATTTTTAAAATTACTAAAGTAATTATGACTGCTAGAATATCAAAATTTTTTACAGCATTACTCATTATGCTTTTTTATATAATTATTAATAATTCAAAATTATTTTCAAATCCGTGTCTAGTTAAATTTTTAGAAATCACAGCAAAATCTTTCTGAAGAAAAGAAGATAGCTCACATTCACAGTATGAATGTACAATGTAAATGAGAATTATACACAATGATTTACGAAGAGGGAGAATTTCTCAAGAAGGTTTGCGATGGAATCCTAGCGCCGTTTAACCGAATGGTGAATGAGCGTTTCCGTATACTAGAGCTTTCCGTGTTCGACACTATTATTTCCGTCTTCGAGATTATATCGAGTCGATGGCGGGAAGAAGCAACAGTTGGTCGGCGTCGTCGAGCGTGACGGAGACGTTGGACACGACGCGACGAAAGGACGTGCAGAAGGACGGGCAGCTATGCATTAGTTGATTACCTTAGATCAGATAAAGATGTTCTTTTAGCAGATGATTTTCTCCGTCCTTTTCTTTTGTTCTCTAACAATAAGAACTCTTCATTGGAACTCACAGTGAGAGTGCAAGCATTCGCGAAAAAGAAGTCGAATTAACGAGGAATCGCTCGTTCGGAATTAATTGAAGAAGAAGGAAATTAATCGTTCGAAGAAGCCGAATCATTCTGTCAAATTGCTCTTGCGATTGAAAAGAGGAATATTTTCTAGGAATTGTTTACCAAGAAAAATGATTTGTCTTATTAATTATTTCCTAGAAGGAAGCGCATAGCGCTTGATAAAAATAGTTTGCAATGCAGAATGATATTCTTATAGAAAATAAAAAATTAAAAGAAATGTTGATTTGCATCGTGTTCAATACGTTACATAATAACGCGTATAAAATACATTATAAAAACAATATATTGGGTTGTCCGGAAAGTTCGTGCCGATGTTGAAGGAAAATTAAAACGCAGAAAATTTAAATTTAGTATACATTAAATTTAGTATACATTTATTAAATTATATAGGTTAGTCGAACTTTCCGGACAACCCAATATAATTAAAAATATCAAAATTAATTGAACAAGTTGAATTTAAAAGGAACGAGGAATCTTTTGCAAATTTTGCTTACCTCTTCAAATAGTCGATACTTTATTTTCTTTATTCATCTCTGCTTTCTTCGAAGAAGTTCGAAATAACTTACGATGTAAACAAGAATTAACATAGGATTATTACGTGAATTAAATTGATATGAATTTGACGGATATTCTTAATATATTCTTAATATATCGTATTGTGGAAAGCAAAATACACCTTTAGTGATATCTTGAGGTATTTTATGTATTTTATAGATAACATATGTTAAAATACAGCGACAAATACGACCGAGAAATCTCTCGATGACGCGCGAAGCGGATTGATTAATCGAGCAAAGTTAAACAACGGCTCACGCTGCCGGGAAGATGTTTCCACGAGACGAAAGCCGCGCGAGTGAAATAAAAAAAAAAAGAAAAATCGTCGTAAAATTGATACATCCACGAGAAAGAGAGACGAGATAGTACGCGAAAACATTATCTCCCTCTCCCGATTAACCCTTATCGGTGAACTCGCCGTTTACTCGCTGGCGATTTGTACGCGTGAGGAAAACACGAGCGTATCTCGACGTTGCGCACGAAATTCTCTTGATTATTGTCGCTTCCGTGGAAATTTTAGTTCGCGGCAATTTACGTGCGCATTATCCAATTACGGAAATTTAAACGTAGCACCGTAAAACACGCCGCATGGTTATTTGTAAGAGCTTCTGCGAAAAATGGACAAGACATCTAATTTTAACATAAAGCTACAATGTTTAATTTACAATACGTTCCGTTTATGTAACGGTACCCTACTTGACCAACTTACTTAATCACGTAAATGAATGTTTACGGCTGTCGGCCGCATAAAAAGAAATTACTGCGTGCGAATTTAATTTAGCATACGATATTATTCTAGAATTTAGTATTTGAAACAAATAAGCAAGAAAGGCCATATTCGATCAAAGCGAACCTTAATAATATATTTGCATAAATCTCACAACTTCGCGTAAATTGCACGCTGATTATTTGTTCATCTTGAAATATAATTCTAAATTAAAGCTGACAAACAATTTAATAATATCGATGTTAATATATATCTTCAAAATGCTGTAAAGAATTATTATAGAAACATTCCTTAAAGAGTTGCTTTCTTTTTCAAATATTACAGTAATAAAAATGGAGATAAATACTTTGGAAATATAATAAGAATATGACTAGACCTCATGCAAATTTCAGAAATCCTTCGATTGGTTAACGTCAACCTTTCTCACAGCAATACAAATTTGCATTCCGCAGGTGCGGTTTATTCCATAATTAAATACATTATGATAATTAGATGACGGTCAAACAAATCGACGTCCAAAATTCCCATAGTGGTAACCAACAACTACGGTTCGCTTCGCACCCTTCTCTATTTGCGTTCAGTTCTCCCTTCGCCCGATCTTGACGTGACCGGCCTTTTCCAATTACTCTCAGTTCCATCGAACTGCCGGACGTGCACCTGTGTCCCGGAAATGCGTAACGTACTACAGGTGCAGCCGCTGTAACGAGCTCGTGTTATCTGTAGCGTTGGTAAGTAAGAGGAGATAGCCCCGAGCACCTTGAGGACGATTATATTCGGCGATTCATTTCAGCGTGTCACATCAAATACACGCACTGGGGGTGTCAATTGAACCGGATGGAACAGTTTAACATCTTTTAAAGACGGCAAGCGATTCAATTTATTTTCCGCCGCCCCTGCGCGTAACATAATCGCGCTCCCGTCATTATGTTCAACATCTCTCTTTTTTTTTTGCGTTCACTCGACGGTCCCCCTGTATTCGCCATAATCGCGTATCACAACGATCGATATAGGTATCAACGTGATACCTTGAAAATCAATGATTTAACGTGTCAAAGCGATCTTTATCTGTATAATATAAATAAATAAGAAGCGCGCTCCAGATATCGAGACTGGATCTTGTTACTTGATAATAGTTCCATATACATTACTACAGTTTACTTATTATTACAGTTAATTATTAATTTTCATTTTATTTTGAGGTTAAAGTTTTATTAAGACACTTGGTTTAAAATGAGATGTGTTTTTTATTCCAGAATCGAACGGACGACCTGAGTTCGGAGGTAGGATGCGGCGTGAGATGCAAGATCGATCAGGTAAGAAGTTCTGATAAGAAGATCTAATCATTTATTTTAATATCAAATCTCTGAAAGATGTGGGAAATAATTCCCTTTGGAATTTTGTATGAATTTTTTTCCTATTTGTCCGTCCGCTGGGAATTACTATGTGGGGCGTTCATGGATACAGGAAAAAAAATATAGTCAATTTTAATAAATATTTAGTTGAATACTGCCAACTAAATATTTATTAAATATAAAGATATATTTATTTGATACAGAAATGTGATAATTTGATTTAACAATGATTTTTTTTATTTTGAACAAATATTTACTTACTGTAAGTAAATGTTTAGTTGGCAGTATTGAACTAAATATTTATTAAAATTAACTATATTTTTTTTCAGTGTAATAATATCATATTCCAAGCAGCACAGCGTTTGCAAACCGCTAAAAAAGTGATTATATGCGTTTTTTTAATACTTTATTAAAGTTTTATAAGCGCTGTGTGCTACTTGGGATATATATTATATCTCATATTACTCATAATTTATATAACAAAGGGAATAACTAATAGCGAATTCGATTGGACACACTAGTGCATATTGAAATTGTTGTACATCGATTTAATCTGTGTAAAAGTATAAATATTTCGGATTATAACATACAAATTTCAGTTGACAGCACAATAAAATGTATCGAGGATTTTATAGTTTAATTCGTTTTTATATTTACACATCTTAAACACACATCTTTAGGTCAATATGTGTACGATGGTTTTAATTTACAGTGCATACTGAGTGTATCCGATCGAATTATTAAGTAAACTTAAATGAATGATATCAGGAAGATACGCTTTTCTTCTCTTGGGCTTCTTTAAGCATTAGTACACACGATGATTTTTAACAGATTTTTTACTACATACAAATTTTTAATTTTCATCATTTTAACAAATATAATACAAAATTTATTAAGCGATTTTTATAATATCTTTAAAAAGTGTGTATTTAAAAAACTTATACATAAATACTTGATGCTTCCAGTTTTTTTTCGAAGAAAAGAAACATGCACGGATGCATCCAATCGTGTGTACTAAGGGTTAAAAGGGTTGGTCGTCTTGTCCTTTCCTCAATAAAACTTAATCGCATGTGATATAACAAAGTTCGGGGCAATAATCGGGCAATCCTGACGGGATAGTGCGATATACGCAAATGACCAGTGCGGACGTCGCAGACGAAAATGAAGGGACGGCGGTCCCTCGTTTACAATGAAAGTACTTCCGCTGGTGTCCCAGGGGGCCCCGCCACTCCTAACTCGCGGCGGCAGCGGAGATGGTGAACAGCAAATAAAAAACAACGCGCGGTCGATGAATGGGACCAACGTGCGTACGTACGAAACGCATTGCGTACGAATGAAAGAATGGCCCAGTCTCTCTCTCTCTCTCTCTCTCTCTCTCTCTCTTTTTCTCTTGCTCTCTGCTACGGCTTCGTGCTTTTAAATTGGATCGCGTACAAGTGCGACCGATGGCGGATGTCGCCAAATTACCGTGCGACTCCGGATTCACTCTCTCGCGCTTCGCCCGTCTCTCTTTCTCTCTCAGTTCCTTTCTATCCAAAACGGAAGTGCGAATGAGAAAAACGGGGAAATTAGGAGAGTAACTGGAGTCGCGCGCTTGTTGTATTTTCAGTTTCCGTCACACGGCGAAAATAATAAATAAGTATGATCCTTTGTCAATATTTACTTTTGTCTTTGGAAAGAGAGAGATAAATTAAACTGTTTTTTAATTTGTTAACTGTTATTTGATTATGTGAAGAAGATGGAGATCTAAATCAGTAATATATATTAAACATTCGACCAAAGATACAATTATTTTGTAAAGACTTTGAATTCTCTCTATGTAAAGTTATAAAAAGTTATAAAAAAAGAATGTTTCCACTGTGAAACTATATTTCATAGGAGATTATGAAAGTTAAAAGAATTATCACAATTAAAAGTTAAGAGAAATTATTTTCTCTTAACACTTGTCATTAGCTTATTATTTCAAAATCGTCAAAAATACACATTCCAATGAAGGGATTTTCGAGGGACCGGAAGGATATCCAGTAACGCGTGTCTCCAGGACAGGGAACGAGCGAGATAATTAACCCCGTAAAAAAGAACAGAAAAGATCCTGGCGTGCCTAATTATCGTGTCTGCGAAAAAAAAAACATCAATGAGTCGCACTCGTTCGTGCCGCTCAGGATATCGCGTACGATTCGGCGTTCGTTGGACGCGTTGCGGAACGAAGCCTGGAAAACGAATTACCACGCGAATTGCGCTTAAAACGATTTCCTCCCTCAGCTCGTTTCACGGTTCGTAAGTCGCCAGTAACGCGTACGAGTAACGGATTGGGGCAACGTAGGTGGAGGAAGACACTTCGCGATCCTAGACATTTACGCGCTTCGACGCGACCCACTTTTAGTCTTTAGCTAAATTATCGCATTCTTTTGGCTGAGATAATGATTTTAAATTTTTTAATTCCACTCGATTTTTTATCTTTCGCCTGAATTGCATCGGTTACTTTAGATCTTTTCAAATTTTAACAGAGCATAATTAAATTCTATGTTTTTTAATATTTACATTTTATATATTTTATATATTTAAATTCTGTCTTGTTTTTTTCTTACTTGTTTTTTTTATATATACAAAAAAAAGAAGTAAAATATTTACTGCTAATCTATTTTTAGATTAAATAGAAATCTAATTGATTTATCTAATTAATCGATATGGAGTATACTGCGTGTGTGTCGATCTCATTCAACTCCATAATCAGCGGATTGACTTTACGTCTCTTCCGGTAATTTCACAGGTCGATAACGATGAATTAATACCACTGGAATTTCTTTTGTTCAACGTCCTCTCATTTTTTTTGGTTGGCTCTCGGATATTAATGTAGCCTTGCATCCCCTCGTCTCCGGAAATATCCGTCGATGACTACTTCCGATCTCTACGAAGAGTTTATTATTAATAAATTGCATTCGTTATTCGAGATAAAATATATCCAACGCTTTTTGTGACAAACAATAAAAACAAAGATATCAAAATGAATTAAACTAGTCGCATGTAAAAATTAAATGTATAAGAAATTTCAGTCTTAAATGTTTTTCTTATGATACGCTTTACATGACATTTTCTTTATGAATACTTGAAGAAAAACGTTAACCACGAATAAACAATAAACACTTATTTCCGTGTATCATGCCAAGAAACCAGACGATCGAGTGTGTTTGTCTGACAATGTAGTAAAGTGGAGGACCACTGACAGCGATGTATCCATACAAATGTCCCTGCTTGAAAGTGGTTACTGCCAGAAGCCACTTTGACTTGAAAATTGCTGCCACAAGTGTAAAGATTGCCAGATGCTAACTACTACAATCAGATCTCAACTACTACAAACTAATGAATGTGTGAAAGAAAGAGATTTAGTACACTATTTGGCGGAATTTTTCTATAAACATCACCATTATTATAAAAAACTGTTATTTATTAAAATATAGAGATATCGACATTTAAAAGTGATATTTAAACAAATACAAAATTGTACCTATATGTTGAAATAAGGTCAGCAGCGGGCAAAATTCAAGATGTAATGTAACAAATATAATAATTTATTATTTATCAATATGAGAAAATTTATTAATAAAAATGGAGTATTGTAGGTTCTGTTTACACAGAATCTTCTTTAGCAATGATAATATTCATAAATATTTTACATAATTAAAATATTAAAATGGAACATGAAAGTTTTTATCTTTATTAATAAAAATTTGTCATACTAATAAATTATTTGACATGTTACAGCATCTTGAATTTTGCTCATATTGACGTTATTTTTACACATTGTTTTGAATATTATATGCTATATAATATTTATCTATTTTCAAGAGTACATAATTTATATTATAACGTCTTATTTTAATAAATAATATAATAAAATATAGCAGATATAAAAATTATCACAAAAATTAAACATAATCGAAACAAAATAGGAAAATCTTTTAACAGTATCTACTAAAAAATTTGACATCGATAATCGATTTCATGTAAATCAGCAGCTCATTATAAAGACATTACTTAAAGAAGACGATCCGAGGCGCCATTACCTTTTTTCCTCTCTACTCATCTATGATTACCAGAGCCAGACTGAGAGCAGTAAATGGGGTTAAAGTAAAACGAGGAGAGGACAGATAAATGCTCGTTTGCGATAGGACGAAGATCTACGATCTACGGGGAGCCGCGTATGTGGAGGAAGGGCCCAGCTGGGGGCATAATACCCGGTGAGGATTTAATGAGGAAGTGAGAAATTAGCAGCCGCTGCGCCGAGTCGGTCAGCTCGACCATTTTCTACTGTCTGATAGTTTTGTCAACCCCCATTGTGCGGATGGCTAGATCGTTTAAAAACTCATATTTGACGAGGCACGTCGAATTAAAGCGCCCAGATGTTCGTTACAACGAATTAAACCTCGGAATCCATATATCCTTTGCTTCACAGAAGGCTGATATTTTCTAAAGAACAAAAAAGTAAATTGATAATCTACTAAAAATAAGCTGTAAATTAATCGAAATAATCGAAAAGGGCGAAGAGTTGTACAACGATGTCACTGCGGTCATAAATTAGATAAAACATTAATCAACAGTTTTTTTTTTCTCAGCGTACTCACATGATAAGGAAACGTAAGTAAAATAAACATTTTACGTTTTCGCATGGCTTCTTATGGCTATCAGAATTACAAAGCAAATTTTGATGCTAGATATACTCGAATTGTATACACTTAACTTCAAACGTGTATAAATTCCAATGTTAGTACGGTTGAATATTTGTCTATTAAATATATATAAATAATTTAAATAAGTTAAAATTTAAGTAAGCCTATTTTTTAAGTCTATTTTTAATTATTCGAAGAATCGCCAAAACTTTACTTTGATATAGCAAGAATCGAACTTGCAAATGGTTTTTACCAATTTAAAATACCAATAAAAGATTACTAAATACCGCTGACATAATTCTGCGATTAATGAAAACAAATTTATTTATAGCGGGAAATTAACGACTACGATTTAAGATGTGACATTCGCGTCTCGATGATTTACCAGAGTTGTCGTAGAATTCCAGCGTCAAATGATTATTAATAACGTTTATCTGGAGGTTCCTTTCCTTCCACGGACTTTTCATACGAGCTGACCTATGTGATACCCTCAAACACCACCATATACATGCGTGTTGTTATGAGCGTATAATGCGACGAGCGTCTCGAAAGTTCCATCCACAGTTCACGTCAGACTTACATCTTTTTTTAAATATAATTATGAAACAATCGTGAAATCTAGCGTGCGTATTGAGACATGAAATAATCAAGAATTGTTAATTAAGAAGATTAATGAAGACTAGTCATAAGTTCATTATTAAAAAAGCTGCTTGTGTTTGTTTACAGTTTTAGTTATTCGGATTTTTCACTGTTACATTAATAATTAAGTGTAATTTTTTATCAAAAATATAATGATAAAATATAATATAGGCTATTTAATATGTGTGGATAATTGTAATTTTATCAAAAGAATTCATAAACATCTCATTTGTGTCTGTTTTGACGGTAAATATATGTGATGTAAGACGATAAAAAATATCGGTATTGAGAAATATCAATGTTATATCTCAGACTGATTTTTTTTTTAATTATATTTTTCGAGTGTAATTATTATATTTCTCTCAAAAAATATAATTGTTTTAAAATTGAAAAAAAAACACTTAGCATAAATTAATTCGTAATCAAATTTCAATTAATTTTATAATTAGATTAAAAATAAAAGTACGTCACAGTTCGCTCAAGGAAATTGGGTTTCTCGTATGATGTAATTTGCTTATTATTCTGCAATGCCGAGTGTAGTATTATTTATATGCGGCGCCTCTCGAACTAAGCGGAGTCGATCAGTTCGCCAATTGTTAAATAGCACCTCTTGTATCCGGAGGTTAAAATAGATCTACTATATATTACGAAATTATACTTATTTATTTATTACTAAACCAGTAAAATTATGACAATGGAGGGACAAGAAAAAAAGTAAGAAGAAAGAAATATTGTTCTTTCATAAAAAGTATTTCAATTAAATATGTATGATAGAAACTATGGAATTAAATCATCGTAGCTATAATTTTTAAAAATGTGATGATTGAAATGTTCCAAAAACAGAGCTACAGATCTATTATAGAAATCGCTACACTCTCAAACACTCAAGAGACAAGCTGCTTCTGTATATTTATGCTTTCAATTGCATTTGAATGCTTGTTTCATTTCAATGTTTTCTTTAAAAACTCAACAACACTTTATACAGCTGTGTCTGACGTATTGCATAAGAAATTTCTCACATTTAAAAGAACAAAAATCCAGAGCATTAAAATTTATTCAAATTCGCTTTTAGCCATTTATTTCTTGTGTAATTAATATTTATTCATTTATCGCATTGTATGTATAAATTTAAAATTCAATAATAATACTAACTTTAAATGAAGAAATTAAATTAATACAAAAATCATACATATTATATGTCAGTATACATATATCAATTAAATCTATAAAATAAATTAAAAAACTTTCGCATTTAAAAAAAAAACAATAAAACTAATCGAAACCAGGCTAATGAGAATTAAGAACGCATTAATGAAAAACGTGTAAATATAAAGGCGATTTTTTCTCTTTTATTAATCCATGCATAAAATATTGAACTTTGGAATCCTCTTCCATAATAAGTTCATCTTTATAAATTTATTCTCAATCCCTTTGGGTTGAGTAAAGTCATAAAACAGCACTCGCTAAATTTAAATATGTATTTTTATTTGATATGAATGCGGACCTTCTCTTAGGGATTATTTTCAAGAGATTACCATGGCCCTGAAAGATTCACATCAATAAACTATAAAATAAACAATGTGCGTAGTGGAAGCTGAGTCGTACATATTCTCGGTTATAGCTGGGTTGTTGTCGACGACAAATGCCCACATCCTCTCGTGCAGAAAGTTAATGCGTCAAACTTCAGTTCGCAAATCCATGCCCGACATGGTACCATGCAACGAACGTATTATGAACGTAGGCGTTACTTGAGACACGTGCCAAGCAGCCCGAGATTGGCCACGAAAAATTACTGTTTCGCCACGTAGCAGCACGACGAGTTATGTCACTTTGCTCCGGATAACGTGACCCATTGTTTGACCACTTCCGGAGCTGTATTTTAGCGAATTGTTGAACGCTCGATGACCTTCAGTGGAAGGATACGCACCGGACAGATTTTCCACAAATCCAATATATATATATATATATATATATATACGCGTGATGCATTTCATGATTTGTCTAGAACATAAAACATTAAATTTGTTGAGATTAAATAGCCGCGAATATTGTACGCAATTACTGCAAAAAATTCTAATTATTAAAAAAATTCTAAAAGAAATAGCGCCAAATTAAAAATAATAAGCCTTCGTGAAATATATTTTGTTTTAAATACCTTTAAAAGAGAAATATAAAAGTTATTTATATATTTATCAAATTTTGTTTAGATACTGTGTGATATAATATTACGTAGATATTCTATTTAAATTCATTATATTCTAAAAAGCAATTCATATATCATTTTCAATAGGAAAAACTTGTATAAAGGCAAAGTTTGTCATTCAAACTTGAAAATATTTTTATGGCCTTTATGTTTATAGTAAATTATTTTTATTTCATTTACATTAGAATATTTTATTTTTATATACACAAAATGAATAGTTTTATTAAAGATAAAAATTTCATTATATAGATACAGGTTTGAAAATTATTTTGAATTACCGAAATAATTATGTAAGTACAATCATGATAATAATAGTGTAAAAAATTTTTATATTTCTAGCAGTTAGTTTAAGTGTCTAATATAATTATTTTTAATGGTCCAACACAATTCTTTTTACATCTAGCTAATTTTATAGATAATTTCAGCAAAACCGTGTTTATTACGTGTATTACCTAGCACATAATTAACAAAGTTTATTCGTACAAAAACAACAACATTCGAAAAACTAAAACAGTAGATTTTATAGCAAGAAGAAACCAACGTAAACATGAGACAATGCATTTATTTTACTGGAAAGAAGATCAAGAATAATTGTTTTCTGCATTTTTGGTTTGAAATTTTTACAAGATTTAGAAAGACTGAGGTCGTTCCTTCTACAAATATGAAATTAGAATATCTCCATTGTCGTTTTCTTATCTTTATGTTTATTATTGCAGTGTACAAAAGGCTGCGAAGCATGGGAACAAGCGCTCGACACAAGCTGCCAAGCTGTTTGCGTTAGTATCGCAGTCATTTTTATTTTTATGACATTTATTATCGGAGAAACTTACATAAAGCTGCAATATACTTGTAACGTAGTTTTTCGCATGACAGTTTTACGTAATATTTTCTTAATTTTATAGAAATAAAACTCTTAATGTCAGCCCAATATATGTTTACAGAATGGGACGCAAGAATTGTTACCACCAAAGGAATTGTACTGCGTTTTGGGTTGCCACGACGCGTTAAATCGTTATTTTCAACAGCTCAAAGGTAATTGTGTAATCTCTCAAGATATTAATTTAAAATTACTTGAATGCTGTACATTTATTCACATAATAAATGTAATATACAAGTATCATTATCAATTAAATTATTATTAGAAATCTTATCAGAGTAAAAAATATTTTTATTTGATGTCAACGTAAAACAATATATTGCTTCAAACTTAAAGTTAAATATCCCTTTGCAACCTAATTGTATTTAAGTACGGAGCACTTAGATACGTAAAAAAAAGTACTATATAATATATATATTAAATAATTATATATATTAAACTAATATATATATTTAAATTTAAAAATGCATATCTTTGAGTATGTATTTCCTTTTTCTCTCTCTTTTTTATATTATTACATAAAGTGTTGTTCTGCTTAAAGAATGTTGTTGATTAATAATTGTCATCATAAATTAATTTTAATTCGGACTTAGATTAAAAAGATATTTTCATACACAATTAATCGTTTTCACATAATTTCATTATAATCTCTTATTTTTTTAGATTACTTTGCTAACGTTATTTTTAAAAATTCGCGAATTCTTTATCATACTGATCAAACGTCGAAATCTCGAGAGATACTTCATCGAAAAGATCGAAATTGGTAGTATCATCGCTTTCACTACAATGAGGAATAAAACTCGGCTGTACTTTCTGATGATAAATCTCGAGCCAGTTAATAGATTTAAACCAGCGGTGCCTCTTGATGTCCATACTACCCTCTTTCAAATTGCCATATCTTCTCGTCAGATCCACTTGCAAAATATTCTTCAATATATCCCTCAAGTCTTCTCCAAAATGATGCGCGAACTTGTATTTACCAGCAATGATCTTCTCGTAGATTTTCATAGGGTCGTGCGCATAAAAAGGAGGATATCCTGCGTTCATCTCGTAGATCAGCACACCAAAGCTCCACCAATCGATGGATTTGCCGTAGCCCTTTGATAAAATTACCTCCGGCGCTAGATATTCCGGTGTGCCGCACAATGTCCATGTGCGAGCGTTCAACATTTTGCAGAAACCAAAATCGGTCATCCTGATGTAGCCGGACTTCTCTATCATAATGTTCTCCGGCTTCAAGTCACGGTAGATCAAGCTACAGTGATGCAGATATTCTAAGGCTAAGGCTACTTGGGCGGCATAAAACTTCGCTAGCGGCTCATCAAACTTCCCCATACGTCTGAGATGGGTGAACATCTCACCGCCCTGTGCGAACGGCATCACCATATACACATACGAATTGTCCTTAAAATAGGAATTAAAACATGTTTATGCGTCTGTTTTATAAGAATTTTTTGGATATCTATTCAATGTAGAAGAGATTATTCGGTTCCTTTTAAAGCTATCATTTTCTTCAAAGAAGCTATACTCTAAAAAATATTGATGTGGATTTAATATCATGTATTTATATAATTTTTACTTTGTGAAGAATAAAATTATTGAGAAAAATGCGAACCTGATGTATTATAAAATAATTTGTGATAATAGATCAGGTTCGCATCTTTCTAGCACATCTTTTTTCCATTGTGACAATAAAGAGATAGTGGTGATTTCTCTCAAATGTCTATGATACGCAAAATTATATAAATCTATATTATGATAATGTTGATATAAACGCTAAGGATTATAAATCCACACTGCTAACATTAACATGGTGAAAATTATGTATAAGACATCATATATTATTAAACCTACACCAATATTTTTTATAGTATACGCGATTTATCTCCGTATTTTGATGTATCATTAAATGCCAACGTTTTGTGAACATTGTAGTTCATTTCATAACGGCGAGAAAGAATCCGATAAGCCACTTCTTTGAAGGAGAAGTTCTGATAAAGTGAACTGTAATGTTTACGAAACATTGTCACTTAATAATGTATAATGTATCGAGACACGAAGATAATTAGATAATTCGCAAACTGTGTAACTTCTTTGTGAAATTAATTTCTTGTTTTAAAAAAAGATTCTTCTGTGTATTTACGAGATTCGAAAGATTAATAACATTGCTATTTCGATTCTCATCCTTGCCTTGAAGCAGAACTCCATGAAGACCACAAAGGGAAAGTCGACGCACTGCAAGATCCGTTTTTCGTTACGTGTATGATCCACTTGTTTCGTCTTCACTAGTCTTGCTTTGTCGAGAATCTTCATGGCATAGTACGTGTTCGTTAATTTGTGTTTTACGAGCATAACGCGACCGAAGGCACCGGTGCCGACAGTTCGGTAACGCTCAAAGTCATCTGCCTTTCCTTTATCGTCAATTTTCAGCTTCCACTTTTCCATGAACGCCGCCTTTTGGTTCTCCAGAATTTCATTATATTCGATGAACATCCGTTCTCTTTCAGCGTCGATCATGAACGTACAAATCGTGTCACTTTCGGAGGGTTAAGATGATATGATATGACAGGGCGTATTATTTAAGATTGTTCTGCGTAACGATATGATCGTACATTGTTTTTTATAATTCCGTTGCGTTGCAATACTATTTCTGCATTATTTCTATCGAAAATAAAATTCTTTTTTTTTTTTAATTATTTCCACTTTCCGAACACACATATACACTCCAGATCAAAAGTTTGGCAATATTTTTTAATAATTGACATTTTTGGGATTGTTTAAAACTCAAATATTCAACAATGTGTTTTTTAACAATAATTCTTCAGACAACAATAATTATTCAGTTATTGTGGATCTAAAGAATTATTATTTAAAAAACGCATTATACTTATTTGAAAATAAATAAACCCAAAAATATCAATTTTTAAAAAGTTTCCAAACTTTTGCATTTATAGATATAAATAAAATTAAGTATTTGTACTTAGTTACTGTATAAAGTTTTTTCTACACTAAATAAGAAAATCTTTTCAATGAACAGCGGAAATCGGCATTCCACCAGCGCCGGCATTGGTTGCGGATTCATTGACGGCGACATCGCTCAGCCTCGAATGGAAAGGTGTAGACATAGACAGACGCGCTGGCATTTCATATTTGGTGCAATGGAGATACGAAGAATTAGCTGAGACGTGGCAATATTGCCGCAATCAGTCATGGGGCGAAGGTGATCAGATACTGGTCGAGAATCTACAGCCGTACACGAAGTATAGGGTATGTAAGAAATGGAAAGAAACTGGAGCAAAATTGGAAGCATAATAAACACGGACACGGACAAACGAAGAAGGATTAATTGAGGATCTTCGTTAATTACAAATTGAGAATTAATTTTCTACTCACTTGTAATACTTAAATAAATCACTTTTGCTCATATATTAACGAAATATAAAGTTATTCCATTATCAAGAGAGTCCGCCAATGAACGTTAATAGGACTTAATGTAGACTTTAGGTGGAATATTCTTAAACTGTTGAACTGTTTCTTTCCTTATGGATACCTCTTCATGAAAACATTCATGAAACGAACGCTGGCGTTTACAGTTTCGCGTAGCGCTACTACTCCTGAAATCATCGCAACACAATCCAGAGCCGATCGTCTCAGCACCGAGCGTGGTAATATTAACATACGCGGCCGATCTACCGACATCAGCACCGGTAATTGTAAGAGCGGCGGCGGTAGACAGTTACCGCGTCTCTGTGTCTTGGGAACCAGGCCCATTCCCGAACGGGCCACTTTTGTCTTATGTCCTGCGTCTGCAAGGGGTTGAACACAAGGGGTTGAACCAGCTTAAGGTACACGCCACGCCAGAAAGTACATATAATTTAGAGACATGTTTATTCTACAGCCGAACTATATTTTAATATATACATTGACGTGTCTTTCGCGTTACTTGTGCACAAGCATTTCTATTTTTTTCTTTCAACTCTGTGCACTGCCACATTTTCATGCGCTTGTAAGGCGCATCGGCATCGTTACGCTTTACTGTACTATCTAACTGTTGTTTGCAAAAGAGCAATGTGCAACTGGTTCTGCAAGATAGATTCCGTTATCCTGTTTGAAGATAATTTATTGGCCACATAAATTAAATTTTAATTAGAAATCGCGAGATATAGAAGATAATATTAGCTACATTAAAAATATTTAAGATTTGTTCCGTCATAATATTGACTTCTATCGAAGTATTTAATATCCTAAAGATGAAAGCCAATAAATTTTACTTCATATCTTTTAGCTTTTTGTGTTGCGTACTAATATCAATTTACAAAGAATGCATGCTTTATACAAAGCATTAATGCCACGCAAAGTATTATTGCGCACGCATTCATTAAAATAAAATTTCTTGATATTCAAGAAATTTTTATTTCTTTAATTATTCAGATAGCGTAATTTTCTTATTTTATTTTAAGAAAGAATAAAAAAAGTCGATGAATCGAGTATCGTAAAATCTCTATGCAAGCGCAAATTATTTGGCATTAATTATTTGATCTTAACTTCGATTATATTGCTTTAATGAAATTAAAATTTCTCGCATCTTAATTATGGTATCCTCTAATATTAGTCCAACGGCTTGCACGAACCAGATTATTTACAAAAGTTTCTGGCATGGCGTTCTTTTATTCTCCTAACTGCATATCTATTTCCCAGCAATAGGGATGCGTTTCTATGAATTGTATAGTATATCTTACATTTTATCGACAGGATATTCCAGTCTCCGAGAATACCGATCACTATATGTTTCAAAACCTCGAACCCAATCAGAATTATTCTGTTAGTGTGACTATGAGAAATAGTGTCGGCGAGGGTCCGCCTGCAACTATCTATATTTCTACGACTCCAGAACCTACCGGTACGTTACGAGAAAATTAATATATATTTAACGTTAACCCAAAAAGAAATTTGTCACATGATATTTAATAACTTTTCAAGAAATAGAGCATCCTTCAACAGTAAAAAGACTACAAATCTTGTTTTCTGCCAAAAACATACAATATACATAAAATAATTTAAGATAAATATCATCGATCTTATTATTTACTGACCAAATTTCATTTAAACAATTTAGCTTTTTAACGTACACTTTTACATTATCTGTTTTAAAGAATCAAGGCATTAGCTATCAATTTACAGACTTTATAATTTACATCTATGAAAATGTACGTATTAATATAAACATTAAAATGATTAATAAGACGAATAATGATAAATTTTAGTCAAGGATACTCAACAACCGATTCTCATCCTCGGTGGTGAACATTTGGTCATGAAGCAGGGTGCTGATATGTTGGATGAGCCTAGCGTCGTTTACGAAACCAAAAGTGTAATCCGCGGCGTTGCAATACACGTGGCATCAGCTCAATTATTCGTTTCTACTTCGATGGGTTATGTGTACCGAACTTCGATCATCGAGCAAACCATACCGAGAGCCATTTTGATCCCCAACGGAGTGAACTTCAAACCTTTGAGCCTTTCCGTTGACTGGCTGAATCTTCACTTGTACGTCTTAGGAGAAGTAAAACACGCGACAACCGCGACGTGGCAAATAGCCAGATGCAATCTCGATGGCAAGAGTCTGACAGTGGCCGTAGCTGGATTTCTAACTCGACCCTCACATATTGAGATTGATCCTTACAATGGATACCTTTTCTGGGTCACTAAAGCGGGATTGTACAGATTAGATTTAGCCGTTATCAGCAATGGTGTGAAACATGAGGTGCCAATTATTTTTAGTTTGTCATTATATTATCAAAGCCTTTACTTTTGAAATTATATTAAGAGATGCAAACTATTTATATATTTAAAATCGATTATTTTCGATTTTAAATGTATAAAGATTTTGCGTCTCTTAGTACAACATTTTAAACAATCTTTTAAAGATCTCACGATATTGATATAGTATAGTATAGTATTATAATATAGTATAATAAAAAAAAAATAATTACTTTTTAAGAATTTCTTGATATTATTTTTTTTTAGGTTCGACCAGATTTAATTCTCGAAGATGCTCATTTGGGTGCTTTTACGGTAGACCATACGAATTTTCGATTGCTCGTTCCTGATCACACTAAAAACACAGTTATATCTGTATCATTAGATGGTCGCGAAGTTGTTAATCTTCGCCCGAATACGCAGAAACCGAAATTCAATAACGTTATTTCACTAGCTATGGCAAATGGACTGTTCTACTGGACTAATGGTGAAGAGGTCCTCACTGAAGGCTATCATGCTGGTCAAAACAGATACTTCCACAATTCCTATCCTGACAAGTAATATACTTTTTAATTTTCTAAATGATTTTATTCAATTTTATGCGTTTAACTGCAAAATTAAAATATTAATTGCGTTTAATAAAACATTAATAACCCATAATTATTCCTTTTCTTTTAGGTCTGACACTTCCTTCGTAAGCGTGACTGTATTGATGAATGCAAGTCAGCCGGTTCCAGTGCCAGTAAATCCACCGACAGGAGTGCAAGCTGTTCTAGGAGCGGAAAGAGCAAAGGTTTCGTGGCAAGCTCCTCACTTACTGGGCGGCCAAGGAAAGGGCGCCTGGCAAAACTGGTCATACGAGCTCGAAATCAAGGACGAATCTACTGGCGAAACTATTCATCAAAAAGGTATCGCCGGATCGTCTCATACTGTTCATAATTTGCGAGAAAGATCGGAATATTCAATCAAAGCCGCGGCCTATACCAGCGCTGGCAGAGGACCGTGGTCCACAGAATTTCGAGGACAAACCTTAAGGTAATATTAATAAATAATTTTATTTGGCGAAATAATAAATAAATTCAACATATCAAAGGTTATATTTGATTTAAAAAAAAATTATATTCAATGTTATGAATTTATTCAATGAATTTATATTTACAAAGTTTTTTCACTTTATGCCAATTATCTCAATTAGTAATTAAATAAAATTATATATTTAGAAACGGTTCACACGCGTCTATCTTGTGGTCGTCGAATGAAGGAATTTTGAGAAGCGACGTAACTGGCGAAAATATCGACACACTAGTTAACAAGGCGAGTTTAAAGGAGTCCGAAAACGAATTCCATATTGTTGATATTAGTTGGTACAAGGACGTGCTATATATAGTGGGAAATAATTCCGCATTGTATCGTTATAACGTCAGCAATCATCAGAAAACAAAACTCAACATACATTCGGTGGGAAGCGTTGCTGTGGACTGGATATCGAAAAAATTATATTGGGCAAATCCAAAACAGCAAATTGTAAATATAATTAGATTTTTATTTTTGATCCAAGTACTTAATCTCCTTAATTTAAAATAAATTAACTATATTAAATTCCATTATTTACGTTCTTCATTATTTTTATATTAATTTACAATAAAAACATAAATAATAAATATTAATAAAAATAATGATAATAATGTAAATAATTCCATTATTTACGTTCTTTATTGTATTTATAAAATTAAAAGCAAAAAAATATTTACAGAATATGCATTACATTATGAGATACTATATATTATTTAATTTAAATCTTTTGTGATTGTAAAATTTTCGTATTATTTTTATATTCTGTGGATATTATTTTCTCAACGTACAGATAACAAGAGCGAACCTGAATGGGTCTCAGCAAGAGCCGATGTCTATCTTAGCAATTGTAAAAGAACTCATGATTGACTCTCTCGAGGCGTATTTATATTGGTCCACTGGTCACGCAGTGGAAGTTGCGCGACTGAATGGTCAAGACAGAAGATACTATCACTTGGATGAAATTTTCAATGGAAAACAAGTGATGGGATTAACTCTCGACACTGAAAACAGATACGTTTACTGGATCGTTCGGAGCTACGAAAGTGGATCCATTGTCTACCGTGCACCTACGTCCGAAAGAATTTCAATGAATCAAAAAATCATTCCAGAAAAGGTACATTTTATGCAATCAATTGGTTTTATAAATTCCATTATTTTTATAAATATTATGTAGTATATATCATAATAATATTTAAAATAATAAAATAATTAATATTATTACTTAATCATTATTTTGAATGATAAAATTATACATCTCGCGGCAACGACTTTAATTATGTATTAATAATATACAATAATTAAGCATAATAAAAATAAAATAAATGGTTAAAAATAAAAATAATATAAATAATAAATTTTTTAATTCAAGATTTCTGCTTTGCAACATCCAAATATGCAAGGACCTTTGTGCTATTTTTCTGAGCATCTATTGTGGCTACAGGACGACAGAAACGCAGTGATCGGTGATCTCTCCGGTCAGAATACCGCGGTAATCAATGGAATCACTTTGTCCAGCTTGTACATGGTAGCCATTGCGGATCCCGCGCATCATCAGTATCCAAAAAATCTGACGTCAGAAACGGTGATAGTTCTACCGAATGCAGTTGATTTCGATAGCATAAGAGTTGAAGGTACTTGGAGAAACTTCAACATATCATGGGACCCCGTGAAGAACATCAATTATGGTACGGTTTTTTATGAGGTGAAATTCGCGGATTATATTAATACGAATTCAAACCCGGAAATCACGATCGAAACGACAATGCCATACAACAATTCGGATCAGATCCTGCCCTATTCTGTTCTGGAAGTCACTGTAAAGGCATTTACTTATTGGGAAACGGCGCACCATTCTCGGAAAATCCTGAGATCTCCACAGAGCGTACCGAGCCAGCCAACATCTCCCAGAGCATTCGTAGAGTTTAGCAAGAAAAACGTACACATGGATATGAAAGTTTGGTTGATATTTAGGTATAAAATTTAGAATTTTGTGCCTATATATTTGTTTTCTTAGATTTGTATATATCTTGTACAAATATATATAAGATTTAATTTCGCTACAGATTCGCGATATAAAAACGTTAAAATCTTATTTTAGATGGGATCCGCCCGAGTTTACAAATGGAGTAATTCAAGGATACATTGTCGAATGTTGGCATGTCGTAAACGAAACGGAACTATTTATCTGTAACAATTGCAGCATCGAAACTACCACGTTGGAGTATGCGACGTCTAATGTAACATCTAACATGACCTATTATTGCAAAGTAAGAGCATATACTAAAATCGGTGCTGGTCCTTACACGGATCCTATCAATGTGTCGACCACATACGAGAATCCGGTGCCCAAATTATTAGTCGCCACAAATGACGCTGTGAGATTGTCAGATTTGGATAGAGAAATCAATAATACGATCACCAGGCACGTTGCGAAAGAGATCGATTACTTGGGAGAGGAAGATAAGATTTACTGGATCAGCGAAATGCAAGAATTGGTGACATCATTGACAAATGGAACCAACGTGACAAAAATACTCAGTCTAAATAGAACCAATACGCACAGCCTCTGCGTCGATTGGATAGCAAGAAATCTATACTGGGTGGAAGGCGAAAACAAAGACAATAACAGAAACAGTTACATCAAAAGATTGGATTTAACAATGTTGCAGGCAGGCATAATCAAGTACAAAAATATCTTAAGAAGAGGAGGAAGTATTACAGTTTTAGATATCTTGCCATCTCTGGGGTACGTCAATATTTTTATCTATCTAAAATATTTAAATTATAATATATTATTATTTTTTAATTATTCAATATGCTTAACTACTAATCAAGATAAATTATGATTTAAAAAGAAATTGTAAAATGAAAAATGAAATTGTAAAAAAATATATATAGTTTTGATTATATTTGTTTTAAAATGATATTTAAAATTATAGAGGAAATAAAATATTTTTCAGGTCTTTATATTGGATTGAGCCAAATGACAGTATAATGCAGTCGGATTTCGAGGGAAAAAATGTACAATACTTTTTTGGAAATAATGATAGCACATGTACTTGTCCACAAAAACCAAAAAATGTATTCACATTCACAATTGACAAAACCAATATTCAAACACCGATGATGTATTGGACATCGGATGAGAATCGATTAAACGTAGCTGATATTTACGGCTGCACGTGCGAAATGATATTAAGAGCAAGTTCCAATATACAGATTTTAACGATCGATAAAATGAACATATACTGGTACGATGGAAAAAATCAAATCCATTTTTTGAGAAAGAAATATTTCTTCATGGAGGACAAGGAATATGCATCTAATCTGGAAGTGAAGAACTTCTACCTACCTAATGTAAATCGAATCACAGCCTTTGGTACATCCTTGCAACCCTATCCCATCACGAAATGTCTGATACCCCATCAAACGAGCTATAATGTTGAGAGGGTGAACGAAACAGCGAATAGCATCATTGTTAATCTTCCGGAACCCAATCCTGAATACGGATGTCAAAAATATAGTTTACCCACTACATTGTACACTATCAATGTATCTCATTGTTTGAAGAATGAATCCAATAAGTGTGAGGAGATCAGTGTGCAGACGTATGAGAGGCGTTATGAGATTCAGAATTTAAAGCCATTCACGGAATATAAGTTGAAATTGGCACTAAGCAATTTATACGAAAAGACATTGGAATTCGGCGAGGAGGTGGTGCTGAAGACCAGCGTAGGCAAGCCCAGCAGGCCGGAGAATGTTACGATTCAGGCTCTAACACCAACGTTGGCGGAGGTCTACTGGATGCCACCCAAGATGCTGAACTCCGCAGTGGTGCACTATGAGGTGCATTGGAGGTCAAATGATCTTTTGCAGAACGGCATGCGACAAAAGGGCGAGCAATTAATCGAGGAGCCTAAACGCATGGCGGATGGCAGATTTTTCACAACACTGCAGCCGTTGTTGCCAGGGCAGGAATACCTGGTGTACGTTCGCGTGTATCCTGTAAATTTCAACGACTTTTACAACGACAGTTTCAGGCAACGCATCCGCATGTACTCAGAACCAAATAATTTAATAATGAACGGAGTCAGCGTAAACAGCATGAATATATCTTGGATCCCGACCGTTAATCTAACGATTGGTTACATATTGGAATACCAGGACGTTGCAATGGAGAAGTGGCAAGTCGTGCAACACATCGAAGTGAACGAGGACCAAGTGATGTATCATTTAGAACATTTGCAGCCACGTACTTTATACAAGTTTCGCTTGAGGCTAAAATATCCCAAGTATCAAGATTTCATATGGGAACCATCCGATGGGAGATTTACATTTCAAACACTCGGTAAGCGTGTGATCGAGACATTATTAATATTCCACGCTTACCATAAGCATGTTTTAATATTATTATAGAAATAAATAATTGAGTTAAAAAACAATAAAGTTTTAAATAGAAGTAATATTTAAATAGAAGTATATATGCTTTCTAAATTCTTTGGAGTGAAATTTCATTGTTAAGAGAAAATTGAGCTCTTGAAAAAGAGTGGCTCAATTTTCAATCTTTAAGAGTGAGATTTCACCCTTCAGTATAAGATTGACTCAAGTTTTAAAAATACTGAAATAAATAAAGAGAAACTTAAATTGGATTTTGTACAATAAAGGTGATGTCCCGAGTACTCCAGGGGTGCCTGTGGTAACAAAATTCCGAAATTCCGTGTATCAATTAAATTGGGAACCCGCGCAAGCTCATGGCTCACAGGTAACTTTGTATCGATTAGAAGGCTTGATCATCGACGACAGTTACAAGCAAGATGACGGGAGTAAAGAGAACGAGCAATGGGATTTATATTATAATGGAACGGATAATTATTGGATAATCCCTGGAGACGTGGATCAGAAGTATAAGTTTCGTGTGCAAGCCAAAAACGCTTACGGTTTTGGTGCTTGGAGTAAATCGAGCGCGATTATTGATCTAACGGAATCTGCTGGAGGAATATTGGCTACACAACAACATCTACCGCTGATGCTGGGCCTCATCGCGATCGTTATTACCATAATGTTCGTGTGCTTTTGTTATTTTTTCTGCCGTAAGTATATTTGCTTTCAATTACAAATTAATTAAATAATAAAATGGCATTTTTCAAATTAAACTTAATAGAAGACAATTCATATTTAATTATATATTTATTATATGTCTATGTGGCAATATGTGATATCAGACGAGTATATTGTAACGTTATCCAGCAGTATACAGACAACGGAAAGAAGACAAGAAGACAGTTTTACCTCCAATAGTGTCCGATGTCGAATTAGCGACCCTCCGCGAGATCCCTCGCGGAAATTTCGTTCAATCTAACGCGCTTTACGCGTCTACGTTACAAAATGATCCGGATGATTCTGCACTGCCCAAAATCAGACAAGAGCAAATCACGCTGGCAAAGTTCCTAGGCAGCGGCGCATTCGGAAAAGTAAGAGTTAATCCTAAAATACAAAAAATAATTTTGAAAGAAATAAAGAAATAAAATTTGCACTTTTAGTTTCTTTTTCTAATGATAAATCTTGAAGTATTTTAAGATTCATCAGACATGAAAAAAGAATTATTTTTGCAATATTAAAATTTAGAATCTTTTATAAGATTTATATATTAAATTAATTCTAAATGTCTCACAGGTATTTCAAGGAAATGCCAAGGATTTAGAAGGACCAGGCATAACGCCCGTTGCCATAAAGATGCTACGAAAGGATGCCTCTTCGCAAGAGAAGACAGAATTTTTGCAAGAGGCAAGGCTCATGAGTCATTTTCGTCATAAACACGTGCTGAGGTTACTGGGCGTTTGCTTGGATACAGATCCTCCGTTACTCGTGTTGGAATTAATGGAGGCTGGTGACTTGTTAAGTTATTTAAGAGAGAGCCGATCCTTGCAACTCACAGATCCGCACGCTCTGCGTCTGCAAGATCTGCTCGCTATGTGCGAAGACGTTGCGCGTGGCTGTCGTTACCTGGAGGAGTTGCACTTCGTACACAGAGATCTCGCGTGTCGAAATTGTCTGGTGTCTGCGAGAGATCGCGAAAATCGTGTCGTAAAAATTGGCGATTTCGGACTAGCCAGAGATATTTACAAGAATGACTATTACCGCAAGGTAAATGTAGAGACTTTTGGATAAAATAAGAAAAAAAATTTCATAAACTTCTCTTTCATTTTCACGTCAAAATATTATTTATCTCTGTGCATAAGCGAAGCTTAAGAAAAATAATTATTTCTCTTTCTGAGAACGAGAAATTGAACATTGAAACAAATTGAACAATTTAATTTAATTCATGCTCGTTTCTAGAATAGATATTTTCAAATAAAAGAAAGAAAACATTTTTTTTATTAAAATTAAAAATTAAAAAAATGACAATTTTAGGAAGGAGAAGGTTTGCTTCCTGTTCGCTGGATGGCACCGGAATCCTTAGTGGATGGGGTATTCACTTCACAGAGTGATGTTTGGGCATTCGGGGTACTAATGTGGGAAATTACGTCATTGGGTCAACAACCCTATCCTGCCAGGAATAATCTGGAAGTGTTACATTATGTGCGTGCGGGCGGCAGGCTGCCGAAACCTCTCAACTGTCCTCCGACGTTACATCAGCTGATGCTGCGTTGCTGGAGTGCAGCAGACGCCAGACCGAGCTTCAAAATTTGTCTCGAAAGCATCGTCGTTTTGAGAAGTCACATAGAAGACGCGGTGCTGAGCCCAGTGCATGCTGGACATTATCTGGCACGCAGAGGTAAATTAATATTAATCCTTATTTGCGCGCATATCTCTGCATGGAACGAGGAATCTTTGCAAATCAATAGAACGTTGATTAAAATTATGCAATTTTTTATTCCCTCGCATTATGAAACAATATATCTACGAATCATTCATTTTAATATAATGTATATAACGTGGCTATTATAAATTTGCACATAATACATCGTTTACATACAATGTATAAGTGTGAGAAGTGTTTCTTTTGAAAATACACACGCGCACGCACACATACACACACACACAAAACAGAATTCAGAATGGAAAAACTGCAAGGAATAAAAAGTCTTCTTTACTTTATAAATTTCCAGTATACATCAGCTAAAAGTAACACAACATCAACATACAATTTCACACTACAATTTGAATATAACATAACAAATGTATTATATAATATTTACGTTATTCAGTGTAAAATTATAATATTGATATTACTTTTGAAGTAATTACTGAGTTGAATATTTGAAACATAAAAAAATCTCTCGCAAATTATTGGATTAATTTAGATCGATTTTTTTTGTATCGCGAAAAATAAGCATGTTTTCCATACATTCACATAACTCGACATTGTCAAATCATATGACGGAATTCGATTTATCATGAAACTTCTATCATCCTTAAAATGTATTGGAATATTACTCTCTATCTGCTTGAATACATATTGATCATTGCATGGCTCGTGCTTGCAGGCGTGTCTAACATGGCTTACTTTGCTGACGAGAATCAGAATCATAATAATTCAGGTAGGTCTTAACAAACATCGTGTGCCTCTCTACACAACCATGTCAAAAAATACGATTTTTCCACTTCTCATCGAGCGTATTTTTCTGATCATTGTAATTAACCCGTTCGCAATTTCTTGGAGATATAAAAAGTAATATAACAAACATGAAAACATGCAATGTACGGAAATGTCATTTTCTTATCACAAAATATGTAAACAAAAATCTTAGAATTCCGCAATTAATAAGTTAACAAAATTCAGTTACTTTGCCATACATTTTCATTGTTACTCTGTATAGGCAACTCGTGGAAGTCCAGTAGTTCTGAGGGAAGCCGAGACATGCAACCTTTTTTGCAAAATTCAAACAACGCTACGCTCAATCCGCAATCCGGCGAGGCTCCAAAGTATTTAGAATTATTAGCGGATAACGAGGATATCGTCTTAAGGGAGAATCCTACGAATGGTTACGAAGTACCCCGTTCAATTCACATCTCGGATCAGAACCTAGCAAATATAAGCAGGATTAGTAGCACGAGTCATAATCGTAAGAGCAGTCTGCCTATGGAGACTACAGAAGAGCAAAAGGAACGTTCGATGGAAGAACAGAAGCAATCTGACAGAAAGCTGTACAAAAGATCATCGATCACTAGTTTAAACTTACCGGATCGAAAGGGCATGTCAATTTCAGGAATGCTGAATAAATGCAATACCTTGGACAGCTCGAAATCGGTGAACTCGATCGCGAAAGTGACTCTGAAAAGGGACTCCTTCTCATCCTTGAATGGCCAACGAAAGTACAAGACCAGCTTGGGTGAGCGAAGGGACTCCGAGGCAAGCATTGAAGGTAGAAGTTGTAGCTCGCATAGCCTGGCGCCTTCCACACGTCCTAGTTCGTCTCTGATCAATTCGCAGACGGTCCTTTCGTCCCTGAAGAGCAACGCCGTCGTCTCGAACACCGTGAATGGGGAAGTGCCTTCGGGCGAGAGCGTGGTGACGAAGAGTATGTTGCCGAAGGTCCAGAGGACTCACTCGAACTTGCAGAATGGCAAGGCGAATATACCGCTCGTGATAAATAGCACGTTGCTGAATTTACTGCGGCAGACGCCCGTCGTCGAAGACGGTAGCAACATCGTCACGTATACAAATATAAACGTGGATGCAGTCAGAGTGAATGGATCGTGAGTCGCCGACCGTGGCAAATCTAAAGATTTATGCAAACATTTCGTATAAATAAGCGAGATTCGTACGAATCGCTTCTGAGCTTGAATGATGTAAATCGAGGCAATTAAATATTCCAATATTTATAAAGTATGACAATAGATTCTATACACATCTACTCATACTATTTTTAAAGCAAGATTTTTTTTTATATGATTACTCCATAGTAGATCTATTCTTTTCCAGAAATTATCCAGGTGGATTTGCCTTGTAGCTATGAAAAATTACTCGAGACAGTCGCTACGATTTTGCTCAAATTTTTTTGTTTCTTTTCTTTTTTATTCGAACGCAGTGCCTTAAATATATCAAACTACATACGCTCATACATTAAGCTCTGCTTATACCATTGATGCCCAAGTATTTCATATGTAAAGATAAAAGAAAGAAAGAGCGGAGTTGACAATAGCTTTAAACTGCCATTTTAATGTACATACATGAACTTTTATACTCAAAAATTTGTCGCGTAAATATGGCAGATCGTTTTGGAACGTAAAAATTTTGCAACTTTAGTAATAATCGCGAAACTGTTATTTAATGTAGGTATATAATATGTTAATAGAGAATGATAAATATGAAATATATATAATTTAAAGTTTAATTTTATAATTATGATTTAAATAACATATTTATTGAATAAAATCTGTGAAATGTTTCACTTCATTGTACAAATTTCATGTTTGATGATAATTAGCAAATATGAAAATCAATATAAGAAATTGTTAAGTTTTCTGCGTTTTAACAACATGAAAACGTATGTATTTTTATTGAAAAGATAAATTAGAATGTATAAAATCTTGCGAAGTTTGTGTCGATGGACTGACTATACTTGAAATTTGTATTTTCAAGTAGCTTTATAGGAAAATAAATTGTGAATCAGTAAATACTGTAACTAAATAATTGTAAATAATATATTACAAATAATATACATCAGAGTTTCGATTGTTTTTAACCTACATGTTTACAATTTTACATAGTATATTTCAAACACTATTAAGATATCAAATTAATGTTATAGGGAAATGTACACAAATGAGATACTATTTTTCTTTCTTTGTGATAAATAAGTAAATTTCCAGTGTATATTTTAGAAACTCACTAATTTTTAAAAGTTGCTTTTATACATGCATTGTTGTTATTTTATACATGAATAATATTAATATGCATTCAAAATAATTCTGAAGATTTAAAAGATTAATAAGACTGTATCTAAATACATATGTATCTACATACATATTGGATTTCCTTTTTCACATATATCTTGCTTCTCCTGGTTCTCAACTTTCTGCATCAGTCTTCATACATATTCATCTCTGGGTGTTTTTCCTATTAGAATTAGGTTCCTGTGGTTTCTGAAATATACACATATATCTAAATATTTTTATTTATATTATTAGATAAATTATATAAGATATTTTTTTAGATCATGTAAAAAACAAAGAATACAGTTACATATTTAGTTCAATGTAATAAGAAAAATTAAAATTAAAAAGTTAATATAAATTAGATCTCTCTGATTATATTTCAATGTTAACAAGAAAACATTAAGAATTTTAGAATTTTACAATACTTTAAGTAACTTTGACCTTGATTTAGCACTGAAACACTACCATGTCTCCAGATCTCAATGTTATATATATTTATAAATGTATACAGTTTACTCTGGCAATCTCTATCTCTTTAATTTACAACATTTCTAGAAGATCTCAACAAGTATATAATGTAATAGGAATTATAAAATTTTTTTTCTTGTTAATACAAGGACATGATTAGAAATAGCCAAGTTATATCAGTTTTTCAATTTTAATTTTTTTTATTATTTCTAAGTGAATGTATAATCGTATTCTTCTTTTCTATATAAAAACAAATTAAAGGCAAAAGAGCCAACAACTTTGACCTATAAAAAATTGGTAGACAAGTAAAAGTCTTAATAAATTAATTATGAAATTTAATAACATGCCGGCTAACAACACTTTTCTTTTCTACATAACTTAAAAATTATCTATAATAAAAAAAAAGTAACATAATATAAATTTATTTACCTAAGTCTCATTTGTAAGAGGTACATCATCATCAAAGGAATCATCCTTACTATGTTCATGCAACAGAACATATTCTCTGGTACTAAAGCCAAACCGTACCACATCCTTTTCTAACAATTCATGATATCTCCTTGGTTCTAATTTTACATTATTTACAAAGGTACCATTTGCGGACTCTAAATCAATAATATATGGTCGTATTCTTCTACCTTCAATACCACCTTCTTTTTGATAAGAGACTAAACGATATTGCAGAGCAGCATGTTGCTTAGAACATGAAGGATGATCTAAAGGTATATCAGCTACTTTGCGATCTCTGCCCATAAGATACGCTGACTGCCGATGTATGTACAATGTAGGTAATGCTTTCTCGCCTTTGAAGGGATATAATCTCCATCGACGCTTGGGTTTTTTGGCGTCTAGAGGCTCAGAATATTTTATAACTACTCCATTGACAGTATTCATGTCCTCTGTCAATTTTCCTGACAGTTCGAAGTTGGGCTTTTCTTTTTCCTCCTTCACAGTCGATTTTCCCCATTCTGCGGAGGATTCTCTCTTCACTCTTGTCTCCTCTGGACTTCGCTTTTGCTTATGTTGATCATTGCGTCTTCTGCTGGAATCATCTCTTCTGTCTCTACTTCTGCTCCTCTCATTACGTTCTCTGTGCCTGGGATGACTATTTTCCCTCCTCAATGGTGATCTCTCATGCTTCCTTTTGTCATTCTGCTTCTCATCATCTCTCCTGGAATAATCGCGTCTACCACTTCTGTAATCTCTGTCCCTGCTTCTCTGCGATCTATCTCTGTACGTCTCGTTACTCCTGTCACGCCTGTTTTCTCTGTTATTTTTATATGTATCTCGCCGCTCCGTCGCATGACTCGATCGCCAATTTGACATACTTTTCGAGTTTATTCAAACTGAATCCTAAAATTCCAAATAATCGTCGATTAACAAACCTAACCTAACTTACTTGGTTAAATTAAAATCGCAGTAAAATCGTAACAGATTGGACATGTATAATAATTATATAAGATCAACGTACCTTCTTTTATTATAATTTACCAAAAGAACAACTCGTTTATGATTTTCGTATTACAAACTAACTATATAATAAAGAAATAACACGAGAAAGATTGTATATCAACCGTCAATCGTCAACGTTCATTGACGATCATTTTCATTGTTCATAGCGACTAGCGACACTAGCGTTTGTAGTTCTCTGATTCGGTAGTTTCCGGAAACTACCGAACAACTTCGGACCGTCTTGCGCATGTGTAGAAATGTGAAATGGCATCAATCGACATGTTCTTTAGGAAACTGAAAAATTTGATTATCAAGTTTAATATTTTTTTTATAATAGTATATATAACATCGTTAAATATTTCAGCAATATTTTTTTGTTATTTTATCAAGTATTTTATGATGTTTTTTTTTCTTCTATATTATTAAATGTTTCACAATTTTTAACTGAAAAAGACTGCAGTCTTAAAATACATGATAGTATTTGAGCATTATTATTGATATTAAATTTTTTATTTATTTATTTTGACATCTTTTAATTCATCCCTTTCTTAAATTTTCATCTTTTTTATTTCTAACTTATTAAAAAAATTGTTTAATATAAAAGAATTTTAAAAATTTCTTTTTAAAATTCTTTTCTTAATTGAAAAAAATATTTTTCTTCTATTATTTAAAAATGGGATTCCTGGAGATTTTAATATTATTGTATAATTTTTATATTAAATATTGTAAATATGGAATGCACCATGCGAACATAAAAAGACTGCGTTTTATTTCGTATAAAAAAGTACAAAATTATTCTTATACATTCTTATGTACATAATAATACATAGTTAAGATATCTACAAGGATACTCGAAGTAATTTGCCACGCTGCAATTCTTCACCTCACTCCGAAATCCTTATCCTCTTTCCTACATTTTTGCCCAAATCACATAAAAAAGCGCATCACACTAAAAATCGAAAAATCATCGTTTTTACATTGTTTTTCATCAGCATTTAACTATTGACATTCATTATCGCGTAAGCAACACACAGATCTAAATCAATTCTTTCTCCTTCACAAAATGACAAAAAAGTTAAATTTCGTTTAATAAAAATCATTTAGTTAAAGTCGAGAAGTACATTATGCAAAAAACTTTTTTTACCCGCAACAAAGACAAAATCTTGAATATATCCATATTGTCCATATTGTCTCTCAAAAAAGAAATTCTGCGTCCGATTGTGGATTAAATATTTTTTAATATTTCGAGAAATAGCTTTTTTTTATGAACTAAAATGAATTAAAATGTCGAGAAGGTAGAGTCGTCGATAGAATCGGTGCCATCAGAGTTGCTTTCGGCGGCGTCTACAAAGGCCGTCGAGAGATCACCGGCTAGCTTACTAACGGCTCCAGAGGTCACATCGTACATGAAGATTTCCTTGTCACCTTGACCGTCACCATCTCTCGGCCTAAAACACCGCAGTGAATCCGAGTGAAAGCGCGCAGCCTCGCGAATTCCTTGACTTTCGAGTAGATTCAGTTCGAGACGGACGAACCGTCGATTGTAATACGCAACAAGAGAATATTAATCTTTAATACATACGATAGATCATTCTTATCTTCTGTTAATTTTAAGTGATTCATACATAAATCACTAACATCTTTAGAAAGTATTTGTGTATTTAAAAAATTGTATCATTACTTGATGCTCCTACTTTATTAAAGAAAAAAAGTATGCAGGATACGGATGATCCAATACTAAGATCGAGTTAACAATATCATTTTCTCATTGTTTATAACAATTAATGATAATTATATGCTTTAAACCAAGCTTGGTTAGTAAAAAGCTCGTATGCGGAAGTTGACATTAAACTGTAGTCATTGAGAACTAAAGTAACAAAGCTTCGACCTCGGTGAAACGCACATTCCCTCCGTTTTTGCCAACTTTCGATTGGCAGCAGTCGGAATAAAAAGTTAATGGAATGAATAGTTGATCAGTGTAAAAATAAAAAAAACATTCTAAATAATCATTGCTGCGAAATAATAAATTTGGAAGGTATTAAAAAATTTAGTAATTGCTTATAATAACGTTAAATAAAATAAATATAAAAGATAGATTAAAATTGTTATTTCATTAAACAGAATAAAAGATAAACCCACACAACACACTTTAGCAGAGGGACATCCTTAGGAATGTAGAGCATTCTCTGTCATTAGGACATCCCTTGGAGGTCTGTGTTTATGGGAAAGTAAAGAAATTTTTATTTCATCAGTAAAATATGATAATCATTCATAAAGTCGGGAAATAATATTAAATCTATGCTACATCGACTTCCGTCGCAAATATAAGATACATGGTGATGTAACGTATCGATTTTTTTAGAAAGCGGCACTGAAGAAACAACAAATATCTAAAGGTGCCTGAAGCGTTAAGAGGAAATGAATCACGACAATTTTATTATGCGTACAAACATCA